GGGGGCTAGAATGGAAGTGGCTCCAGTGTCTAGGGTCCTTGTCCACCTTTCAAATGAACTTGAGAACAAATACTTTTCCTGGATTGAAAGTGTTTCCACTATTCAAATTCAACTTGGTCTTTTCAGATGCAAAAATGTTCATTACCAGACATTAAATGTAATTGTAAAATTGACCCAAGGATCATTTGGTGATAGAATGTGGGGAGTGGGAAGGGAGGGCCCTGATTTATGAAGCCTTTTTTGGGCTACTCTGAATCCTCACAGCTCTTCAAGGGAGGCTGGTCTCAAGTGAACTAATTTAAATTAGATAAACTATCTAATCAATACATGAGCAGATCAATCAAAACAGAGGCTTTAAAATGAGTGGCTAGAGGGGTGTTTCTGAAGCTAATGGCTAGAAGAATATTTCTCTGAATTGAATTCACTTGTTAGCATAATAAGAGATTAAACCGTAATTAGTGGAGCGGGTTTTTGAAAAGAAGCAGTCTTGAGTCAAAACAACCCACCCCCATTAGCCAAAAACAAACAAACAAACAAAAAAAACCCAACCAAACCAAACCAAAACACCCTGTGAAAGGCTGCCGTCAGGGAGAGTTTCCAGGAACAGGAAGTTTTCCTCTGCTCTGCAGGTTTGAGCTAGCTTTTTATCTTGCCTACCAGTGCCCGTGCTTTCCTTTGCCAACTCCATTTTCAAATCCGCTTCATCTTCACAGGTTGTTGTATCGACAACAGTCAACGTGGACGGCCACGTGCTGGCTGTGTCTGACAACATGTTTGTGCACAACAATTCCAAACACGGGCGGCGGGCCCGCCGCCTAGACCCGTCAGAAGGTACGGCCCCTTCTTATCTGGACAATGGTAGGCACATGCTACATGTATTTTTTTTTTTTTTAATTTGCAATGCTTCTTTTTCTTTGCACCATCCTTTATGTTGGTTCATGTGGGGTTCATGAGTCTTCCCACTCACTCCCCATTGAGGAGTGGGCTGGGCAGGCTTCCTCTTCCTTTATTGGACAGCTCCGCTTTGTGCTCACCTCATCTGCCATAGCCTTCACGTTATTGGTTTGTTTCTAAGCTTTCTTTTCTTGCAGTGTTTCTAGCAGTTTTGGTTTTATTTGGCTTGTTAGAAGCCCCATCCAGAAGCTCATTCCCAAATACTTGGTGCATGCTTTAGTGGGTGATGGTAACCTGGTCCAGCCAGCTCAGGAGGGACTATAAGGATCAATTTCTGTCCTTCGATGATGTGTACCTGCATGTATGTGTGTGTGTGTGTGTGTGTGTGTGTGTGTGTGTGTGTATGTATGCGCACGCGTGTGAATGTGCACCTGCACAGTAGGGAGGTGAGAATAAAGCATTTTGCCAAATGCTTCCAACTGAGGGACTGTTTGCATTACTTGCTAAGTGAGGAGGACTCCTGAAAGCGTGGCTGGAAGGAGGAGGGTTCTTGGACATCAAGCACTCAGACTCAGTAGACCTTACACCAAGCCATCTGGCTTCCTGCTTCTGTAGTTCCTACAACTTACTTGTCCTCTGTAGAAGATGACCCATTTCCTCTAACAGACATCTCAAAATATTTGCAAGACTCTCAGGATTCCAACAAGAATCCTGAGGAAGCAACATGAGTTTTTTTTAAAATGAATTACAAACAAAACAGCATGATGGAATCTTTTAGAGCAAAGAACCCATAAAACTAAACAGTTTTAAGACAGATCCTCTATCTGAAGGTGGTGGATTCAAGAGCCACCTGTAAAGCCAGCAGACACACACACAGGAAAATGAATGAAGCATGCACAGATTATCAGAATGAAATATGACTCCGACATAAAAACTGAAGGACAATTTATGAATCTGCTGTGGTCCACAAAAATAAACTAATTTGTTTTTCTACATTAATGACTAAGGTATAAGAGAACAAAAATATAATAATTAAAGGTCGCCTTGAGCACCAGAGTCATTAGAGTCTGTGACGTATTGTTTATCTCCTTCCTATGCACCGAAGGTAGGTGTGTGTTTTGCTTAGCAACCATCACTAATGAGGATCACAATTAAGAAGGTTGCGTCCCCAGTCCTCAGTTCCTTCTTTCCCTGGAGAGCTAAAGCTCGTAACACGATTGGCTCAAGGAGGACTCCTCAGCCTCTGGTGCTAGGTTGTCGTCTGAGTCCAAAATCAGCCGCCTCTAATGAGCTATTATGATCTGAGCAAAGTACAAGTATTTATTTTTATAAGTAGCATGAAAAAAGCATTTGACTGTAAGCAGAACATGTAGCATTTAGAAAAATAAAGGCCACTAGTGGATACCTTGGAGATAAAACCCAACTAATCAAAAGCTATTTGTGGAAGCAATCTTGCTCAGGATTTTTTTTTTCTTATTTCTCAGTATTTTATCAACACGTAAGCCAAGTCACTTTCTTGTTAGAGATTGCAGTGGCTCCCCCATCCTAGAAAGCAACTAATGGTGTTAAAAATGCAAATCAGTAGCTCAGAGAACTAGCACACAGG